CATTATACCGTCTCCTACGGTAGAGAGGTACAGTCGCACGATAATATCTCCCCTCTCTCTCTCTCTCTCTCTCTCTCTCTCTCTCGTTGTGCAGCGTATCCCCACCATGTGTACCTACCTTCATACTCGGGAATAATTTCTACCTCCCCTTATGTGTTTGTTCACAGGAGAAACTCATCCCAGGCTCGGAAAAATCGGTCGCGCTTCCAGCTGCGGAGAGGAAACCCGGCCACCCCAAGGGCGGAGCGCTATCAAGTAATGCCCCTTCTGCGTCGGGAAGGCCTCGCCCACTTTTGGATTCCCCCTTTCTCGCATTTTCACCCTCCCACTATCCAAATTCTGTCTCTTTTCAAACAACGGACGGACCCCCACTCGGTCGGGTTGGGGCGCCTCCGCCCGCAAAACGAAAAAGTCCCGAGCGCCGCCACGGCCGACGATGGTCAAAGTCAGTCCACACGGAGAGCTCGAGTCGAGTAGAGGCTACTAGCTATCACCAGGTCAAGAAGAGATCCATCGATCTGTCGATCACCGGATCATCGGCCCATCTGCCAAGCGTGTCACGAACGTCGTCGTTCTCTTTGGTGACTCCGCAGAAGATCGCCGACGCCGTTCGTTGGATTCAAGAGTGCACGAGAGGTTGTGACGAGATTGTGAAAGAGACGATTGTATCAGTGAGAGTTGGAGTATTCGAAATATAAGAACGTTGAAACGGATTCTTTATTGGAAGGAGTTCGAAGTGACGAAGAGCATTGATCTATGGAACCGAGACAGGCGATCTCGCTAGTAAAAAGATTATTTTGCTCAAGTATTAACATAACTGAAGACTGAAGAGAATACGAAGTGATTCGTCAGAGAATACAAACTTATTAATACGGTAGTAGGAAATATTTTTCACGGAGTATTAAAGGCATGAAAACACGTATAAAAGACTGAAGAGATCTCGTGTTAAATCGTCGGAGCGTATAAATCTGCAGAAGTCCCGATTACGGTGTAAGAATGACAGTACTAAGGATGACATCCCCGGTGACGCCTCCATCGAGTAGTCCAGGTTCGAACGAAGCTCAAGCGCCACAGGCGACTTCAAAACCAGCTCATCGATTAAGCTTCTCTGTCGCGGCACTGTTGGCCGACACTAAAAAATCGGATTCTTCTCGACAAGAAACCTCGTCTGTGTCACCCAGATCATCGCCGGTTACGTCCTACTCTCCAGTGAGACAGGAGCAAGTACCGATCGCGTCAAACGCGTTACAAAAATATTCGGATGACTACAGATCAAGATATTTGTCAATATCACCCAATATTCAAGAACACAGGCCGATCTCCTATACATGCAACTCTCCTAGAAGCTCCTTGGACTCCAGAGCGCTATCCAGGTTCTCAGAAAGCGAGCTAGACAGGGTAGAATCTCCGAAACGAAGTAGGATCCACGATTTCGTCGTTCGAGCCTCTACGGACACGGGTTCCGCGTCGGAAGTAGGACGTTCAACGTCTCCGAAAGCTTCCACGACGAGTCACGTGGAATTCGGGTCTCAATCTCCTAGAAGTAGCTCGCACGAAGCCAGATCTAGGTGTTCGGAACCGGAAGACATAGAGGAAGAAGATGAGAACAGTTTAGTCGATGTAGAGGATCTTCATCAGGGGATGAGTCCCACACCGGTTAGACCCACCCCTGCCTACATCGGTGGCTTTTCTAGTTTGGGAAGCATTTCTGGTATCACGGCCGGTTTGCATCCCGCGGTTTGGGGCGGAGGTCATCAGGGTGCAGCCGCGGCCGCGGCCGCAGCCGCCGCGGCAGCCACTGCCAGTTTCTTCCCATCGCATTTCTCTCATCACGCACCTTTAAACGGTGAGCATTATCAACTTTTATTCACTCTCTAACTATAACAATACCACTTAATCTACATAACCAAACCGCAAGTTTGTAATTTTTATTAATTATAGTAATAATTTGACGATTAAAAAGGAATTACGTATTATGGTTTGGAGAACTGTATTACAAATGTATAATTGATTGATTTGAATTTTGTATGGCTTTCACTTGTACTAAATTAGTGCAAGACGACGTCGACGAAATGTTATTTCATTTTTCGTGGTTAAAATGTAATGAAATATGTAATATGAACTAGTACTTGACTACGCGTGCTATCTTGTACCAGCAAGAGATAGATATTCTTCTATTTTGGTATGCGAGACACTTGATCAATTGTATAGTGCGGCATGGTGAAAGGAGCAATTAGAGGAGAGTTGGACTGTTATCGCCGTGCGCTCTCGCTGTTTTAATTACGCCGTTTTAAAGAGAGCGCGATCGCTCGTCAACCGCGGACCGACGACAATCGCGCGCGAGGCGCGTCTTTGAGCTGCGCTGGCCGGCCGCCAATCGACTCTCCTCGTTGGATTCTTTTCGTGGTTCGAGACAAGGCCCGATTGTAACATAGTTAAGAGCAGAGAGGTCCGCGGGGTTCGTGAATGCGATCGTGGTTTCGTTCAATGGAGCCGACGGATTCCTCGCTTCTACTCGGTTCGCACCGTTGTTGTCCACGGATAAAATTAGGAACGGAAGTCGCCTCGCTCTTCGTTTCTTCATCGTTCGCCGATCCTTTCCCCCCTTTCACTCTTCTTCTATTTTCACACGCGCGCCCGAAATTTGAGAGTGATTGAGAAGGCATTTCCGCGGACAATGTAGTCGCATTGTGTTTTAAGTATAGGTAGTTGCAGAATTGTTCTCTGGATTTAGAGGCGATCGATCCGAGAATTTGTAGAGGATTTGTAATGACGTGAGTTTTGAAAATTCCTACATTTCATAGAATTCGTAATTTCTTTATTCATTGAGACGCTGAGGTAAATGATTTAAAGAAAACGTAATTGACCAATTGAGGTATGATGCCTGTCGTTGTGGCGACAGTATTAACGATGGAAAGAACAGAGAGAAAGAGATAGGCAGTCAGTCAGTCACCTAAAATCACCGCAAAAGGAATGCGGTTCTCGGAACGTTGCAGCGCGTCGTGCGGATGACTCGTCCCGATTGAATCATCGTTAACACTAATTATTGAGGTCGCGGCTTGATAATTGCGCAGGGGCTCTCTCGTTAAAGAGGCAATCAAAGTTTTCTCGCTGCGTCGGAGCGCCGCCAGTCTGAGGCGAGGGAACAGTGGCTCGTTTCTTGTCTCGTGGAATCCGGACGATGGACAATAGGCGATTATTGCGGAGAAGGTGTTGAAACTGCCGATGAATGGAAAAAAAATATTGCTTGCATCGCTTGTTCGCCAATTTAGAAGCTGCTTCAAACGTCTTTACAAAAATTCCGTTTAGTACATAAAATTCTGTCTACATACAAGAAAATTATTCTGTCCATTCTCCGAAACATCTGTTTCTACTGTGAACGTTTCATGAGATTAGATAACTAATTTGACTGCCAAATAAATTACCGCGTGTTTCTGGGAATAATTTTAGAACGTGGCAGTGCTGTTGACTTTTGACCATTGTATCAATTTATGGGTTATCGTGGGTGCGTTTGGAGTGATTCGCTGGCGAAATAGAATCAACGGTAATCGAGACCCTTTGGGGAAAGCGGTGTAATTCTGAAATATGGCCTCTCGTATAAGGTACCTCACGCAGATTGCCTAGCCCTTCAAACTTCGCTTCGCCTTGGGAAGGGATTGAAAACAGGGGTTGCAGAGTTATCTTCGGTACCGGCATACTAACCGCTATATAAACACACTTAACCCCTCGCACGATTTGTTTCCGTCAGCTTTACCGAGAGAATTGATACGAATAAATTAGAAGCAATTCCGCGCACGCCAACTCGTCGGAGTTAATTGCCTTTTCATCGGAGCCGGCAATTCATTTGGATAATGAAGATAAATATACCCGATATCGAGGAACGGGATTTCGTTTTCGTTATACGATCACGCTTTGTGCTCGTTTATCGATCGGACAGGGTTAATAAGATCGCGTAGAAGTCGTGGTCCATGAAAACGTTGCGCAACGCAACAAACACTGAGATTTCACCTTTTTGCCTCGGCCTCCGTTGTTAGATTATCTAAGCGAGATCGGTTAATTATTTTAGTAATTTGCATCCGTCGAAAGGGCACCGTTCTCGTTTTATCGTAGCAGTCAATTCTCATTTGACTCGCATTCCCATGCGGTAGTTCTTTTCTGTTAACTAATATTATGGAATGAATCGTCTTCTCTAATTGAGAAGCTGGATATAATCTACATTCAAGTTTAATTAACAAGAATTATTATATGACATTGGAGATTATCCTACAAGATACAGTCGACTAAAGTATTTATACGAGTTTGCATTACAATTTCCGCGGTTGTGAGGAAGGATCAGCAGTTATGCAACAACCGGCAAAGAATCTTGAACAGAGGTCCGCCTCCGCGGATCGTTTTCGTCGTATCGCGAGATCAGCTAATTATTTCGAATGCGCATTCTTGATCGTTTCCCGGGTGCAAGGATTAAAATCAGGCCGGGTAGTTTTCGGGGACGGATCCTCGAATACCGAGACTAATTGGAACCCTTGGAGAGAATCGTAGCGAGAGAGAACGAAAGAAGGAGCAAAGGAGGGTAGAGAGGGATGAGGAATCAGAGGCACAAAGGACAAGTCTTCCTTGTCACGGTAACCGTTTTGGAATCGCAAAAGCCTTGTTCGCGAATCCTGAAGCAGGAAGAACGCGATTTCATGCGCGAGGGGACTGGAAGGAGGAGAGTTCGGGTCTTGGAAAATTTGAAATTCAGAATCCCCTAGCCTTTTGTTTCGACGCCGTCCGTTCCCGAGGATCGCTCGTTTCCAGAGCCGTTCACCTCCGACTCTACAAATCTGTCAATTGTCTCGAGACAAATCTCGGGGAATATAACCGATATATCTTGACACGAGTTCCCTATACCTTTCTCTCTGTCTCCGTCTTCCAGTTCTGGCATCATGTTTCATCGAGTTCGATTGTTTTCGTTTGTCATACTCGATTCCAACAAGCAATTAATTCCGAAGTCCCTGTCCTGGATTTTCGGATGAAACCTTAAATAATAATATTCAAAGCTTAATTGTCTTTGCGCCTGGGGAAGTATCTGGGCTTTTTAGAATGGGATAATGGATGTTGCTACTACAATGTTCCACTTGAGGTTGTAGTAATTTAATAACATAACCTGCCGCTTGACTAGCGCGCAAAACCTGCAAACCGCTTATTACTCCAGACGAGTCAATAATCGAACGTACAGCCCTATTTATTGTCAGCCAGCAACTAAAATACACAAAACCTAGTAATCGATCGGAGGTAAAACCTCGTACCGGAGATGCTCCAAAAAAGTCACGTATCCACACCGATTGCAACAAATTTCCGCGGAAAAATTGCCGTGATCACGATGGTATCGAATCCTCTGAGAGAATCATACTCCATAGACCCATTATCGAGCGCACCTTTCTCCGGGAGCACGATGCCTATACGTCGCTAATGAATACAAGCGACGTAGCGTTAGCGAAGGAGCGATTCGCGGCCGGAATATTGCGGTCGCGGTACAAAAAGGTAATGAGGCCAGTTTGCGGCGCGGCGCCCGTTCCGTGAGCAGGCAGATTATGAATTGGCCCCTTAAAAAGTACGCGTCCGTCTTCGTAAAACCGCGGTCCGCTTCCTGAATCCTGGCCTCTCGGCAACAAGAACAGGACGCTTGCGGTCAGCTTCTAACCCGCGTGAGACGCGTCTTCTCTCCGCTGCTTCGCCGCGCGAGCGACGATGAATGACGAGAAGCTACGAGACGATGAGACGATGGATGATCCTCGAGCCGGAACACTCGGTTGCTTTCGGTTGCAGAGAACGGTGAACCGGCCAAGATCAAGTGCAACCTGAGGAAACACAAGCCGAACCGGAAGCCCAGGACTCCTTTCACCACGCAACAATTACTGGCGCTGGAGAAGAAGTTCACCGAAAGGCAATACCTCAGCGTCGCGGAGAGGGCCGAGTTCTCGTCCTCCCTTCATCTAACCGAGACTCAGGTGAGATTTCTTTTCCCTTATGCTCATTCATAAATTGTATAACGAGAAACGGTAGACTTATTTGCCAAGGCGCAACCCAACTTATTCAGGAAGGGTTTTGTGCTAGTCACTGCTTTTGAATCAAGTTAATGTGAAATTAGGAACACGAATGTTTTAAAGTATTTTAATATAAAAAAACAATTAATTCGGATATTATTAAAATAAAGTCAAAAGAGAAATGTCTCTCCGCTTGGTAGTAGAACACGGACCGGTTGATCATGAGAATCAGTTACTGAACAGATTTCGCTGCCAGATGCAGGGTAATTAGCGCGTAGTATTCCGGACGCTGGTGAACAACACGGGAATCTTTATTAATAGACTACAAATTGCTCGAAACGCACGATGACCGACCAATTATCCCCGGGTCGCAACGCCGCTGCCGCCAGGCCGCTACTAACTTCGAAACGCGGTTTTAGTCTCTCGCGTCTGTCAACAAGGCGATTCGTTCGCCACACTCGTTTGCCGCGGAAACCTATAGCCCCCTCGACAAATAGAGTCACTTAACACAGACTTCCGAATGGGCTTCCGTATCCCAAGAGACAATAGGACTAAGTTTCCGCGTATAATTATCTTCCCTCCTGTTTCGAGAATGCAAATACGCGTTAGACGTTTGCATAGGAAATCTAAATGATTCTACCGAGTTTCTTCACAAATTAATTACAAATTAGATCACTTATGTCGTAAGTTATACTTTTCCTCTTTTTTTAATAAAATTCAAGTACTATAGACAGATTTATTTTATAATATAGTCTAAGTTACTGATCGTTTTGTGAATCGTCCGACCAAATTGAAACCGCAACAGAACTGCCGGCCCGTTAAAGGTAGCCAGCCAAGCCTATAACGAAACTGGATTCATTGTTGCAGGTGAAGATCTGGTTTCAAAATCGTCGTGCAAAAGCGAAGCGAATGCAAGAAGCAGAAATCGAGAAATTGCGGATGTCGGCGGTCAGGCAACATTCAGCAGCGCTGTACAGTTCTCATCCGGGACTCTTGGCACCGGCAAGTCTCTATCCCGTTGGGATGCTGTCTCATCCAGGTCTGACGCCGCATCATCCGATCGCTCAGCATCCATCCAGAGAATGAAACCGACTGCGAGATACCAAAACTACTCGTTCTGTATCGAACGTTCACTCTTTATACGAAATCGAGTTGAAGGATGGCTCGAAGTACGCCGAGTTTTGGGAAATTTATCTATCGAAAGAAAAATATGAAATTTTTTACTCGAAACAAGGGAGAAATGAAGAAATGGTGTAATAATAAGTATAATAAGAATGAGATGTCAGATGGACACATGTTGCATGAAGAATTGTCAGAGTTCAGATTGTAATCGCATCTACAAAGGATATACCCGAAGTGGAAATCATTGAAATTAAACGAAGAGAATCATTTAGGTGTAAGAGTGAGAGATGGGGAAGCCAAAAGGAACAAGAGACAATAGCTTTGATCACGGGAGCTATAATGTATCTGTGCCAATTTCGTACACGTTCTTACCTGTAACGTGACTTGTACATAAAGTGTAAATAATAATCGAGACCGAATACTTCGTGTAGTCCTGTAAATACGATAACGAACGATAATTTACCCTCCGATGGATATTTTCCAACTTTTGTATAAATGTAAAACCAACGCCGCAGAGAATAGCAGAGTTTATTTAATAAAACTACAGTATACGTAGCACCAATGCTTGTTGTACGCTTCCTAGTCAATTCCCAATCTAAAATCAATAACCAATCTTTCACAGATCGTTCGATACTTAAGGAGCGGTCGCATAAATCTCGCGTCGAGCAAACGACGACTGTTTCTAATCGAGTCTTCACTAATGAAAATCGATACTCGTATACGTTCGTGTAGATACATCGTCATTGAACATCGATCAACATGGAAGAATTGCGGGGGAGGCGATTAATTGAAAAGCCAGCTTGCCGATACCTTTTCGACCCATCCGCGAGCGGTTAGAAAGTTGGAATAAATTACCAACGGCAATTAAACGAAAGCCGCGAAGGTTCTCAGCGGTCGGATAAATTGAACTAATTTATTCAATCATCTATGGCTTATAATCTATCTGTATTCCTAATATTTCACAATTTATGATCGCACAAATGATTCCGTAACCAAACGTAATTGAAATAAAAAAAATATATCAAATACGGTAGTTGTCAGTGGTTTTCTTGAGCACGGGATATCGTTAGAAAATATCGGCGCCGATCAATTCCGCTCGAGGATCTGAAATTCGTTATTGAGGTGTTGAGCCGCGCCATGCCGGTAAATTAGAGCCATTCAACCGATAGGAAATTTGTTTGAGCAATCTGAAGCTCGGAGAAACTTTCTTCGACCTCCTTTAACAAGTTCGGCAATCATCAGTTAACTAATCAACCGCGATCCTACCAATTCACACCATTCTCCCACTCCACGGATGTGACGTGAGTCATATTTCACGAAATCGTCTTCACTGTTTCCAATCTTCCCGGAGAGATCCGAGTCTTTCAAAATCAGACCTTCATTTTAATGAAAATATTTACAGGGATAACAGAGGCTCTCTAACAGAGCATCTAAAATTAACGCTAATTTTTAATTTCATATGGAATAATGTTAAATTCAAATCAATTGTTAATACTGTAAATAGTATTATTACTGTGAAATAAACTTAAATATTTACGTTGTTTAACTAAATATTAAGTCTTCTAAATAAACAGTTATATCGAGTTGGTTTACAAATTTTGAAGCGCAATCATTTATTCGAACACAACTATCTCCAGAGAAGTTAGAAGAGATACTACGATTATACATATGTACGTACCATGGTCTAGGATACGGAGCATCGATGGCAATCTTTGCGAGGTGAACACGGTTTTCTACCCCGGCTCTCCTCTCGGCCGGCGTTACCATTCTCGATTACGTCGCAACGATTACGCGGTAGCCAGCCGAGAATGGCGTCTCTGTGCGTACGGGCATACGTAAGTACACGTACATGTCGCGGGAATAAATTAGCCGTGGCAATTAGTTTCGGAATCGAGCCGCCCCGGGCGGCCTGGATGGCGCCACCATCTTGATTACGCTCGCTCCGGAGAGGAGAAACCCTTTAAAAAGACAGTAGCCAGCACTGTTTGCCGAAAGGCCCGTTCGCGCGGCCTAATTAGCGATGCCCACCGAGATATCGCCGTGGTACGCTAATAATACCGGGCATAAATATTCCGAATTTTTTCGTCTGGTGGCCCGTCCGCTCTTCGAATCCTCCTCCTCCTCTTCTCTCTTCCTTTCCTTCTCTTGTTCTTCGTCTTCGCAGCTTCTTCTTCGCTCTAGATTTCGCTAATTTCTTATTCTTGTACTACCTCATCTTCGAGACTCGTTCTTTTCAAGTTCCGTGTTGTTTACGCGTGGTTCGTTAAAATCTTTTGGAGTTTTACAAGGCGAAAGTGAAAGGAAGGATGGGGGCTCGATTTAGATGTGGGTGTCGATTACCCATTTAGCGCCAATTTAAAGATACTAATTGCCGATTCGAGGACTGATACAATTTCTTCTTTCACGACCAGCATGCGTAACCCCAAGCTGTTTACGACTCGACGCATACAACGTAGATCCTTCACCCCTATCCCTCGCCTCGCTCTCGCGTCTAATCGAATAATTAAATACTTCCGTCGAGTCATTACAGTTGACTGCGTCTAATTTATCGGCCTGCATTAACGCGATTGACGATTCGACAACGATTTTACGATTCTCTTACGAAAGGATAGCGAAGCGAGAGGAAAAAGTGAAAGAACAAAACGTCCCTTCTTTCCTTCTTTCTTTCTTCCTTTCTAATTGATTGACGAAGCACACACACACGGCTCGTTCTTATCGAAATTGCTCCGGCTTTCCGCTCGGCACAGTTGAATTTTAATCGCGTAATTAGTCGGCGATCACCATCGGTGGACCGGTCGCTTCTTCGCCGTCGTTGGTTTCGCTCGCTGCTTTCATGCGCGAAGATAACATCGATCAGATGATATCGCCTAAACTACCGGTCCGCTTGTTACGCCGCTGTGCCGCGGTGTTAACCCCGTCATATCTATACCCGTTCTCGAAAACCGAGCAGTTCGTTGGCCTCGGATACGAGAATGGTATTATCCAACAGTGATCTTATCCCGGGTTGGAAAATCGTCATTCGGATATTTTATCAGCGCCTGAGATCGACTCTTCGCTTTCCCCCGAAGTTAATAAGCGTCGTCATTCACGAAAATTTATTCATAACATCGAAGACCAGGGAACATTTAGGAATTCAACAGAGTTGTTCGTTCGATGCTCATCAACCTGCGAATATAGACTCTCGCGTCTTTTAATTACCTAATCAATCGACTTTCTTCGTTAACAAGTTGCACTTCGTTTTTATTTATGCTCTGATAACTTTTTTCTCGTTACTGATAATTGATAGTCGCGAGTTACAATTCAACAACTCCTCGTTTACCCATCTGATTTTATGTCTTACGCGTTAATCCAACATAATATGTGAAAATGAATAAGTGGTTCTAATCGTTTATCAAATCGTGTTGACGAGTTCTAAATAATGTTCATGAAAAATGTCAAACGAAACTCCTATACTTAATTCATTTATATTCATCCACGTTTCTCAATAAAGGCACAATGCCTAGGAGAGAATATTACGAGCGTAATAAAGCACCGTTGGTCGTTGAAATTAAGGCGCCCGGCCAGGGAGCAACGCGATCGCTTTAATGAGCGATTAAAGGCGGCGTTATGTAACCGAAATTAATTAATCCGTCGATAAATTCCGGAACCATCGCGTAGAAGGGATATAGAATTAATGATTCCGATGAAGCGCGTGGCAGAAAACACGCGTGGCATATAGATTGCAGATACGTATTTTGGTAAAATGTGAATGTAAGCATGTACTTAACTAAACATACGTATGTAAAAACTATTCACGCGTATTCGTGAAATCTTTCTTTAATTCGTTTTTGTAACGACTGCGTAATTGAAACGATTTCATTGGAATTTTTTATTGTTCTACGTAAATACACATAAGTCCAAGTGAAAGTGAAACGATATTCGTCAATTTTTTATTTTCTATCATGATTACATGATAGTTCAGAATGTCATAATCTCGGGAAAGAAAAAATAAAAGTTCCATGACGTTGCTTAAAATAAATGCAATTTGTCTGTGCAAATAGAGAGATAAGTAATCTATTTTCGTCTCGATGATGCAAGAAGAAATGTATTAAAAAAGTATTTGTTTATACGGAACGGTTGCCACTACGCGGAACATTAATAAGCAATTTAGTGAACAGTTGTAAACGATCTTGAAAAAATCTGATAAATCATTTCATGATGACCATTTCATCGAAACGACTAGCCCTATAAAACTGTTGTCGGTCGATTACGTAATTATCTTTAATTATTTCATTGACGTATAAGAAAACATAATTTATTCCTATCCGGAGTGAATCTGAATTGATAATCATTATTAATTATAAATGATAGCGATGGTAAATAAAGAGACGATCAGAAATCCACGTGCGCGAAGAAACGGGAAAAGCGAGCCGGAATAAAAAATTAGTTAGCATTTTGATTGGGCGTCGACGAAATCATGGTGAAACGACCAGGAGAGGAGATAGTTGAGAGCAGAGTGAAAAAGCGGTATACAGAATAAAAAACGTGTGTTCGTCAATACATGTGTATTCGTTGCTAATTTGTTACGTAACATGTGTTTTTAATGCTGATTATGACAACCGACGATAGCGATATTATTATAACTCGAATTCGTCTGCCGAGACCAGCTTTGGTTAATTATTCGCTTGTCTTAATTATATTAATAAAGAATTTTGTCAGACGATTGTGAAATTATTGCCTCTTTCCTCTTTCACTCTTGTATGCAGAGACGTACTCCAACGATTCGAACTGCACTCTGTTAATAAAATTCTCTATCCAGACGATTTTATCTTCAATTAACACAATCCTATCATAACTTTCTGTATCCGAATTTCTTATTTTCCTATTAATTCGGATAAGGGAGGTCCTTTCATGTTTCTATTTTTCTCTTGGATAATGACCGTTAGGCAGTTCTCCGAAGGGTGCAGAATGGAATCTAGCTTTTGCCGTGTTTGGAAACAATAATAACGCGTGGTTTACGATACGAGCATTCGGGCTATCGTGTCGGCCACCTACGGCCGAGGGTACACGAGCTACCACTTTGCGCTCACTTAGCCCCAGCGCACAATTCACCGCGGGCACCGTCTCCCCGCGCCGTCGAAATAAATTGCGCGAAATTATGGTCGAGACACGCGGTTACGCGTCACGTAAATGGGCCTTCGATAGAAGGTTCCATCGGAAGGATTCATTGTAGACGACCGCAACGATTTAACAACGATCCAAACAACTTCTTCCTGTTTGTACTATCGATAAACTCGCAGTTTTTGTATAGCGATTGCATTGTATATTTCCTGTATAATAAAACAGACACTAACTGTAGATAATGATTACTTCGTACACTCATACTTTGTCTTGAGCTTGAGAACAAGAATTTACTTTACAAACGAATGCTTTCAGACTGTATGAATTTATTCTGCTCATAACCATGCGTGTTCGCAATAACATTAATCATACCATGCGCGGAGCATATGAAACACAGCGCGAACTTCTTTAAATGTGATAATTAGAATCTATTAGAGGGAAGTCTCTGTTCTATTCCTTTTC